CTCTACCTCAGCTGGCTACAGCCCAGCTCTGCCAGTGCTTGCGGGCTCTGTCGTGTCAGCAAAGTGACTGAAAGGAACACAGAAGTCAGGGGAGGAAGGATGTGGGTGCTCAGAAATCTCAGCTTTAACCAGAAGCAAACCAGGACTCTGTGTGGAAGCTACAGGCAACGCTGGCTGCTGTGCCAGCTCTGAAGCAGCAGGGATACATGAAAGACTCAGCTGCTGCTCTCAGTACTTACCCAGTTTGCATCCAAAGGCTCAGTCTGCAGGACAGCAGCTCCCTACACATCCCGGGACTTTGAGCGACCCCAAGCAGCAGCAAGGAGCAGCAGCACGCTCCCTGCCCCCATGATGCTGCCCACAGCACGATTCACCCCAAAACCAGGGACCAGAATCACGGAGCTTCATCTGCAAAGCCAGGATTGCTCTGCAGCTCCTGCAGCAGCTCACCTACCTGTGCTGGTGGTAACAGGAGGAGGAAAGTCAGAAACGAGAGAAAAGCCCCTCACCCAACCTGGAGTGATCCTGGCATCTTCTGATGCCCTCAGCCTTCAGTGCAGCTTGCTGGGAACTGCAGCTTGACCCCTCCAGGATGCCCCACACTCATCTGGCTGCCCAAGATGCAGCATTCAGAGTCGGGGGAGTTTATCTGCTTGTTTTTTGAACTCCTTTTTCCCTGCACATCACTACAGTCACTATCTACAGGACAGTCAGTTTCAGGGTTGTCTGTGAGGAGCCAGGGGTTGGACTTGATCCTGGTGGGTCACTTCCAACCTGGGATGACTCTGTGATTGTAGGGCAGAACCAGGCAGGTACCACTTAGCACTGCACTCATCCCCAGGTACCAGCAGCCCTCATTTAGCCTCCTTCAGTCCCCTAGGGCAGATCACAGCGTTTCTGCTTCCAGCTACTCCCCACCACCCAGGAGAACACTTTTAAAAGACACCTGAGTGCTGCACAGTACTGGAGCTGCGGTCAGGAAGAAGCGACCTGGAGTCGGGGACAGCACCAACCCAACATCCCACGTAGGGAATCAGAACTGATCTTCCTACCCTCACACCGACAGATCCATCTCAAAACTGCTTTAGGACCCATTTAGGACACAGCACAAAAGCAAATCTGCAACAAATTCATCCCAGGTACTGGGGTGAAGAGATTGATGTTATAATACTCAAGTCCTTCACCATAGCAACAAAGCAACCCTCTCCGACTTCTCTCTGTTCAGCTGCACCAAGACTTATCCTGGGAAGCAGCCAGGATCCTTTTGAGACAGCACCCAGCACACCTTCAGCATGAAAACAGCAAGAGCACTTCCTTCTGTCAGTGATCCACCTCTACCAGATCAGCTGGGAGCAGATGGACTTTGGAGGACGCACACAGTGCTTCATAAATGGGTTTTAACAGTATGGAAGAGAAACAAAACAGAAACTGGGGACCTGCATTAGGAAAAAGCGTGGTAACCCAACACCCAGAGGGCACAGCACTACATCAGGGCACCTAACAGTCAGAAACAGCACTTCCAAGAGGGAGACAACGCCAGACAGTGCAGTCAGCCCTTTCTCCTGCTGAACAGACAGGGAACAGACACCAGAAGCTGCTTTCCTCCTCCTCCCACCAAGTCCTGTCACTGCCAAGAAAGCCTAAAACTTCACTAAGAGTTTCCTTACTGATGTCAGCATTACAAATCCAGACAGAGGTTTCCTTGGTGCAGTACCAGCACACAATCTCTCCCCAGGAAAGGATGTGAAGTTAACCTGGGTTCTCTAATCACCACATCTGCACAGCCTCAGCAACGCAACGAGCTCGTCGCACCCAACAGAAACGCAGTGAGCAAGAACACTTTCCCCAGGGCCGCTGCCTCTGCCCTCACAGCAGCACTGGATGCTTTTCCTACACACAAGGTGCCAAGGATTACCTGCGGTGCCTGCGTCTGCATCGGCTGCTCCTCCCCCTGGGGCTGCACGGTCCCCATTGCAGCCTGGCTAAGCGTTGTCACCCGGCTGGGCTGCCCACGCAGTGTCACAGTGATGGTCGTGGGGGCCTTCAGGCCTAGGAAAACGTGCAAAAACAACATCCCTGAGACACAGCAACTGCAGAGGCCACGTTCACCAGCTGGGGCTGCAGCACAAGTCTCCACCTGCTCACAAATCGCTATCAAAAGCACCTTTTACAGCTCCAGCTCCAAGGGGGCAAAAATGAGCTTTGGAAACAGCAGTTTTAGGGGATGATGGGCTGCTTCGGGCATCTGCATTGCATGCTGGACTCACCTGCTGCCTGGTTGGAGATCTGAGCCAAGCCGGGGAGGCTGCTGGCCAGCTTTGCCAGTCCTCCATTCGTCAGCAGCTGGTGAATGGCCGTGGGCTTCCCACTGGCTGCAGCTCCCACAGATAAAGAGGTGGCAACTGGGATGGTGCGGACTATGGTGCCAGTGCCTGTGGTGATGGCACTCAGGTTCTGGATGGGTGTGGGTGTCTTCACAGCTGAGGTCTGGAAGGAAAAGGAGAAGCATTGAACACCTGCAATGAACGAGGTTGCTGGGGTGGCACAGCTTCTCCCTCCAACAGCAGCGAGGGGGCAGATGGCGAGTTTCTACACATAATTCTGGTGGCCACAAGTCTAAACACAAGTGAAGCTGCTCCTTCCCCCCTGCATACACTCACTGCAACTTAAAACACGACTAGAAATGGTGGCTCCACTTTAACGAGCCGCCTGTTCCGAACGGGGCCTCCTCAAACTGAAAAGCTGGGGAGCACTGCCTAACAGAACCACAGATGTGAATTTTCCCAGAAGGAAAATAATTAGAAAGATTACTAATCTCAGTCCATTCTGCAAGCTCTTCTCAGTATTTTCTAGAAGCTGCAAAGCCTGGTTTTGAGTAAAATTTCCCACAGCCCAGTTTCCTAGAACCCACACCACTTACAGGAACCCTCACCCCAGCACTCAGCCAAACCTCTCACTATTTAGCTGCAGTTCATGCCCAGCACTGCTCATCTGTTCCTGGACAAACACGGCTTTTTTAGGTTCCCTCCAGCTTCTACCACTTCACCCTCCATACAGCTTCCCTTCAGAGAGTAACATTTGCAGGCTGCATACTTGCACTGGCGTCCCAGCTGCAGCCACGCTGGCAGGAAGGGCAGATGACTTTGTCCCAATGTCTTGCAGGCTGAAGCTCAGCCCTTGCAGCAGGCTGCTGGCAGAAGCTGCTCCTTACAAAGGAAAGAAATTAAACAAAGAAATCAGGTTTGGAGGATTAAGAACCATAAAATCCCAGGTCTGCTGGAGAGTAAACTGTTCTTTAAAGAGGAGGGTCCTAAGCAGCCAGCCCTAAGGCTGGTGGGGATCGTCCTAGCCACACTACAACACACAGCCCAACCTAAACAGGTGATCTGTGAGACATGGGAGGCAAGATCCTGCTCCTGTCTGAGAGGAGGGAACCTTTGGTATCTCGAGGCATCAAGGTTTACCTTTTCCATTCACAACAAAGGGATGGAGAGAGGCAGATACCTTGGAGGGCACTGGCTGGCTGGGCCTGCATGCAGTGGGTGCTGCTGGCCACCAGCCTGCTCTGCAGGGCATGGAAAGCACTGGGCGCCGTGCTGCTGGGGATGGTGGCAGATGGAGCAGGACTCACTGAGCTTTCTGCTGCCGAGCCCAGCCTGCAAAACAAGAAGAAAAAGATGTTTCTTGGTGATAAACTACACGTGGCAATGCAAGAGAGCTTCGTCAGCACACTGTTACAACACACAGAATAGGGAGGTGATGAGATAAAAAACCGAAAACAAGAGCAGCTCGCCTGTGTCTGCCTCAGCAGCTAGAGCAAGGAGTGAGAACGCTGTATTTTCAAATCAGAAGTGATCCTGTAACGTGTGCCTGCCTACGTGCTGCCACCCTACACAGAATCGCCTCGAAGTGAAACATTTCCCATTGAAAACCTACTTTCTATTTGAGAACAGCTCTTCTTCCTCTCCCCTCCCAGATCAGTCAGGGTCCAGTTCTCCAAAGCACGGTTTGAATTAAAAGGGAAAACAGTGACGTGAGAGACTGTCAGCACCAGATTCATTGCCCCAAAGAAATCCCTGTGGCCAGTTACTTTCAAAGCCAACGCCGAGAATTTTTTATCTTTGGAAAAAAATGTTTTACCATCAGAGAATGAAGGGAAAGAGGACAGCACTGCATTTTTGGCAGGGACGACAACGCAGCCGTTCAAAAGACAAAGATAAGCAGTTTTAAAGCAAGCTTGGTTTGGAAAGCTATACAGAAATAGGGCCCAGCAGGCAAAATACCTTCTGCCCATTCCCATCACTCGTAGATTGGATCACCAGCCCACAAGCAGTTTTCAGGAGCCCAGGAGTCCCCCATGCACCAGAAAGCGAGACGCCAGGCAGCTCCACAGGCAGAAATCACTGCGTTGTGGTGCCTTCCATCAGCAGCCCGTCAGAGCAGCCCCGGCTTCGGGAGCGAAAGATGCACTCACTTGGAGGCGGCGAGCAGTCCGAAGGGCTCCTTCCCACCCGGCACAGACTGGCTGACTGCCATGGGGAATGGCTTTCCTGCGACAACTGCAAAAGAAAAAGAAAACACCTAACTCTCTGTCCTCTGTAAACCTCGAGGGATTCCTCTGCTCTCACAGAACAGCCCAGCGCTGCAGGCCATGGGCTCATCCCGCTCGCAAAGCTTCTTCTCAGAGAAACCTCTGCTGCAGCCATAAACAGCCTCTCGAGCCACCACACAACAACATCAGGAGCATCAAAGGGAGCAGAGTTGCAAATGAAAACAAGAAGGCTGTCGTTGTCCGAGTGTTACGGGACCAAAGGAACCGGCTTCAAAGCACTCAAGCCTCACCAACAACTGCAATTCTCTCTCCTAAGTGCCATCACCACTCGTCCCCTCCTTACAGGCCTCGCAGCACAGCTCTACCACCTCGACTGGTGAGCCAAGGTCTGCCTGCTCCCCTCTGTAAGCATTCTTTACAGACACAAAATACACAGGGATGCCAGGAGTCACGGTATTTGTTTATTGTGTCACAATGTTGCTTTATTGCAGCCTTTGGGATACAAGTGCCTGTGTCTGGCGCTTCCTCCTGCTCACACACGGTAAGAGGGAAATCTTGTTTGGTTCATGTTTACTTCTGCAATTCATTTCCTTTCTGTGAAAAGAAGTAAAGTTGGGAAAATTAAAAAATAAAAAAAAATAAAAAAATAAAAAAAAAAAAAAAAAGCCAGAAACCAGAGATCTTCAAAGCTGCCAGAAGATGAGCTGCAACCCTGAGAAAGGACGCGTATTTATTAGTTAGTTCTCACAGCTGAAAACAACAAGAAACGCTTTGGAAGAAGCAGGTTTGTTCCTCTGCTTTTCAAACCTGACTTCCTAATATTTGGAATATTAGGCTGACCCCTCAGCCCTGAGCTGCACCAACCTAATGCTAACAATGAACAACTGCTTCATGCACCTGGGGCTCTGAGGTGAGGCAAGATAACGTCCTTCAAGCACAGCAGTGAGAGCAGCTGAAGCTTCTGGCCTCCCTCACAAAGGCTGAAGGGAAGCAGACCAAGCACGTCGCCTCCTCTTGGATAGAAAGGACCTCTGCAATGCTTGTCACAGCAGGCTTTCCCAGGAGAAGAGCTGGGATTTGCTAACACACGAGCCAAGGGTTTGTTGGACCTGACCTCAGACTGCAGCACAGCCTGAGCAGGGTCAGCAGAACTGAACTGTGGAGCCCGAACAAAGAGGGAGGAACATCACCTTTCTCACAAAGCAGGAGCACATTCCAGGGTAGAGCCTGGCTCAGGGGCCACCAGCAGGCAGCAGAACCAGAGACCCACACAACCTACTTGGAGCAAGAGTTCACCACGACCAGCATCCTGCCTCCAGCAGCAGCCTGATGCTTCAGAGAAGGTACGAAATCCACCTCACAGCTCACAAGACTGCACCAAGCAGTGAAGAGTGCAATCCGCATTGCTTTGAGAAATGGAGGCACCTGTCAAGTTCTGGCTACGTAAATCCAGTCCCCACGTGCCCCCAGCTATCCCCAACAGCACCGTGCCGCTCGTGGCTTTGAACTGCTGTCTGTTTTCTGCAGCTACCTCCTCAAAAAGAAACAAAAAAAGCAGAAGCACAGCTCCCCTCCCCTCCCCCAGAGGAGCCCACGTGGGCACAGCCACAGCAGCACTCTGGTTTACAAGCAGCCATGCCATGGCAACTCACTTTCTGCCTGGGTACTGAGGGGTGCTCCGTTCCCCACGCCAGCAGCATCTCCGTGAGAGACAATGGTCACCTTGATTTTGGCTCGTTTGGAAGTTTTGCTGCACTGGGTCGGGCTGGGGGTCTGATGCCTCTTCAGCTGCACGCGCACATCATCTTTCTCAGCCCCTTCCGAGTGCTCTGAGGAGACTGGAACTGGGGGACACAGAAGGAGCTTTTTGAAACGGCCGATTCCTCGAGGTTGGTGCAGCTCCGCCGTGCGCACCAAGGTGTGGAGAAGGGTCGCATGCCCATGCACACTCCTGCAGCTCCTTTCATGCCAGCCTCACCCATCTCCCGTGCACCAGGAGCCCTCGCTCCTCCTTTTCACCACCTGCATTGACTTCTGCACGCCCTGAGCTGCAGCCTTAGGGCAGCACTCAGCTTCAGCCACTCACAGGCTAAGGCAGCACAGGAAGCCTGCCCTGCCCTCTGCAGCAAAGAAAAAACGGATGCCTACAGCACTGACATCTTTGCAGAAGCACTTTTCACTTCCAAGTCTGGCACACCCCGATATCATCCCTGATCTCCCGATGAGGAGAATGTAGGTGCTGAGCTGCTTGCAGGCGTGCTGGGATCAGAACTCAGCCTCTCTGCTCTTCCAACACACCTGCCAAGCTATCTGTGTGCCTGCACTCAGCACGTCCCTTCCAGCCCTCCAAGAGATGGACAGAAGCACAGAGGTGGCCACGAAGCAGGCAGGAGCACAGGAGGTGCTGCAGCGAAGCCAAGCCCTGAGCTGCTTGGTACTGGGGAGAAAAGCAGCAAGCTGAGATTTCTCTTCCACACCAACTGCTCGTTTTGCTGTTAGATCCTTGACCCATCACATCCACTTCGTTCTGCCTGCAGCTTAAGTTTGCTGGGGAAAGGATTAACCAGAAAGTGTGTGACAAGCACCTCTGGGCAGCACAGGGCCAAGGTGCAGTCACAAAATGCCACGTCCCACCCATTCTGAGCGTCCCACCACTGACGGATGGCCATCTGCCTCCTGCTGTGGTGCTGGCAGCAACCTGCAGCAACAGGGGGAAAGCTCCAGAGAACCCTCTTCATCCAGAGAGCTGCAAGCCAGCTAACTCCCCGTTTGCAAGTCCCTGTAACCAAGACAAAAGCCTGGAAGCCAAAATACAAGCTGTCTCTCACTCAACTACAAACTTGCTTGGTTCAAATGGGCCCTTGGAGACCTCACCAGGTGTGCACCAAAGCCCCCCATGTGCCACCAGCCAAGCAGGACAGTGAAAAGGCACATGCACAGGTCAGCAGTTTCCATTCCCATCTGATGCTGGGTAAGTGCACAGTTCACAGAGTGACCACAGTGCTGCTTTCAAACAAGGCTCTAGAGAGGAGGTGATCTGTAAGACAACCAGCTTGGTCCAATACTGGGCCTCAGTGCAGTTTGGACCATATCCTGCGTGTGCTCAGCACATCCAAAATACCACAGATGACGCTGCAGCCAGGGTTTGCCTTGGAAAGTTAAAAGCATGCAAAGTTTGGAGCATTGCAGCTCAGCAGTTGTCACTTCTGTCGATGCTCTCAGCTTCCTGGGGTCACCCGAGCTGAGAGCTGACACCTCTCCTGAAAGTGCAGCCTCCCAAATCCCTGGATTAAACACAGCTCCCCTCCATGCGTCTCCAGGTCAGGACAACCCCATGGAGCCAGCTCCCACCAGTCACCCCAAGGCTACACCTCTTTGCCTTCTTTGCTCTTCACTGATTTTCTGGCCAAGAAATTCTGTTCTGCGATCCCACAGCTGCCCCTCCTGACCCACATGGCAGCTCTTCATTTCCACGTTCACCCGCAGCCGCTTTGCTGCACTACAAGGAAGGACACTCGACCAACATGCAGCCTGACCCCCGCACAGGAAGGAGCTGAACTCACACAAGTCACCCACTGTCCAGCAGAGCAGGACTGCTGCCAGTTTACACCAGTATTTACCTGTGCAGCAGGAAAAGGGAAAAGCTCAGGAGGTGTTAATGCTCTCAGTTTGCACGCAAGCTGTTTGTTTAAGCTTCAAAGGCAGCAATGAGAAAGCAAAAAGCAGGGGGACAAAGGGAAACGTTGGGTTGTGCCCCAAACCAGTGCAAGGGAAGAGGAAGATGTCAAAAGGAGGAAGCAGAGAGAGAGAGAGAGAGAGAGGTGGAAAGAGACACAGTGGGAAGTGAGGAGATACTCACCAAAGAGACATGAAGAGGTGCCAGGAGGAAGAGCTTTCCTCACCAGCATGTTTTGTTTCAGAAAAGCAGCAAACTGAGCTGAAATGAATCAGAGAGAATTACAGTATCACAGCCCGGCTCTGGAGGGGCAGCAAGCTGCAGGGACACCGCTGTGACCCACAGAAACCTGGGAGCAGGCAGCAAACAGCTCTGGGCACGGCCACCACCTCTTCCCGGATCACCTACTGCCGAGGAACACGCACTAGAAGCCACACAAACCCTCCTCCTGCCTTCCGTGCGCTACCTAGGAACCTCCTCAACTACAGCAACAAAGAAGCAGACTGCTTCAGCTCATCCCTTGACAAACGAGAGAGATGCAAGCCTCACTTCCCCTCTGGATCCCATCCTGACTTCAGAGCGTGCAGGGTCCCAGAGCAGCAGACAACAAGCAGCCTGTTCAGAGCCATCGTGAGCAAACAAACGAGCACAGAAGGGAAGATGAAGAACTATTTCCCACCTCCTGCTGATTTTTGCCACAAATGATCACACCGCCAACAAAACCACTGCCTACATTCACAGCTCTTACAGTCAGACTGAAGCTGGACAAAAAGGTTTTTAATCAGCATCCAACAGGACAAAACCCCCACGGCTCAGAGCAGCTTTTCCTCTGTGTTTGATACAAGATGACTCCAGTTACCAAAGCCCCGCTGCTTCAGCCAGAATTCAACATCCTCAATCATCACCTGAGCTCTTTACTCCCCCTCCCAAGCAGTCCTGGGGATATAAGGCATCAATAAAAGGGCTCACAGACAAAGGAGAATGACAGCATGGCTACGTGGTGGTTTGGTCAGCTACAACAAGTGAAAATCCTTCCCACCTGGAACAGCAACAAGACTCTGCAAGCTGCACAAGCACTGCTTCCAACCTAATTTCACCTCCCCACCAGCTGCCGCATTCCAGTGGCAATAACAGGGAACTGAGCTGCAAAGCAAGTTGCCACAGGAAGGATTCAAGAAAGCACTCAGAAGATAAAACCTAAAGAACTCAGGGAAAAGAGCAAAAATCCAGATGTGAAGAAGGTAAGAAAGCCACCAGCTGTTACCTTGGGCCTGCTTGTGTGTCAGGATTGTGTCGGTCCTCTGCACCTGCCTCTTGAGCAGCTGTGCGGTGCTGATGGGGGTGGGCTTCTGGATGGAGGACACAGCAGCCATTTTAGTCTTGGGGCTTGAAGTGGGGCTGCTGGAGACACTGGACAGGTCCTGGATAAGACAAGAAACACCTCTTATCCCACGCTTCCTGAGGAGAGGCAGTCCTAACCTTAAGCATGCACAGAACGCCTGTCCCTCTGCTGAAAAAGCCAGAACTCGCAAGGTTTGTTCAGCCACTCATCCCTTCACATCCTCCCGCCCTTCTCCCAGCGCTGAGCATCCCTCACTGCACCTTTTGGCTGCACAGAACCACCTCCTCACACAACCTCAGCTCTCCACGCCCTGCAGGACGCCCCACCTCAGAGCCTGAAGGCGAGGCAGGCACTCTGGATGCTGGCGAGGCAGGCCTGCTGGTTCTTTCGGGCAAATCAAAGGACAGATCCCTCCTGGTCGAGTCCCGGGGCTTCTTCTTCTTCTCAGCATCCAGGTCACGGGGATCAGAGCCCGAGTGGCTCTCTGCTCGAGTGAGGATGCCAGTCAGGAAGTCAGCTATCTCATCCTAAGCAAGACGAAACCAAGAGTCAGGCTGCGTGGTGCAAAACTCTCTCAAAATAATTCGCCTTCACAGCTTAAAGAAAAAAAGAACTCAGGATTCCCAAAGAAGCAAACTGACAGGGCTCTCTAGATTTAAAACCCCCGAAATCTTGTAGGTGGACCTCAGCTTTCTGATCAAAGCTCATACTCCACTGAATTCTGGCAGATGGAAGGGAAACATGATGGTTTCTCCCAAAGTATTGTTTGCTCCCCCAGGCAGGCGTGCTGGAAGATGCAGAAAAGTGAGCTTAGTTTAAAGCAGACACACAGGAAGCTTACTGCTCTCCTCCTGCAAAGGCACAACCACTTCAAAGCATCTCTTAAGAGAGAGATTACTTTGCTCAACCTGCACTGGCAGCCAGGTTATCACCTGTGGTCACTGAGCCACTTCAGCACGTTTTTTCAGTAGGTACAAAGCTTAAAAGGAAGATTTCTGCCTTTACCTGGATGCACCTGTCCACCATGCTCTGGGTCAGGCCTTCCGACTTCTTTTTGGCTTTACTTATCCTGTGGAATAAAATAAATTGAAAAAGATGGAAGTCAGCAAACATCTGATTTTCCCCTGATGCCCACGGCGTCATCTTTCACTGGAGAATAAAATCCACACCACAGCAGGTTTCATCCCTCGCACTGATCCTACGGAGGTCTCAGCTGCTTCCACCGCTGCTCAACCCAAGAGCTCCGCCTGCTGGAACGACGAGGGCCGTCCCTCAAAAACGCCGAGAGCTTTGCTAACAGCAGCCCAGCACGGCTGAGTTCACAACCAAAGCTTTTCGGCACGTAAACACGGCGTTTCCTTCCCTTCAGAGCTTCACCTCCGTCCCAGTTGGACACTTCTTTCCCTCCCAAGCATTCCCACTACTGATTTCTGACCTTGCATTAACCCCAGGCTCCCCCCATTCCCACACACGTAACCTGCTCCAGTTTTGGGTGCTGTTATTCCAGCCTGGAATAACAAGCTTCAAAGTGTACTGAAGCCTTTTGTGCTTCCTGCAAGGCTCTGACAGCCCCCCTCACCCCAGTCCTGGACACAGCCTCCATAAGCTGCACATTCCAGAG